AGGCTGGTGTGTGTCTGTGTACACGGACGGACGGACGGGCTTCTCTGCCTCTCCTGTTGCTCGCTCCTTAGCTGTGGACTCCCCCGAGTGAGGGCTCTGGGAGGAACAGTATGGGCCCTTTCCCGTCCTCTTGCCCAGGCGACGGGCACAGTGGCCTGCCTTGGCTTATTAGTCATGGGGGTGAAGCCAGTGTGAGAACTAGGTCTGCACTGGGAACCCCTGCTGGCAGCACCCCAGTTCCAGGAGAGGGGTCCTTATTCCCGGCCTTCATACCCTGCCCCACCTGTACACCTGGGCCTGAAACAGTTCTCCCATACATTTCACACACACGCACGCACGCACGAGCACGCTCTCTCCCATTGCAGAAAACAAGCACACACTGAGTGAAAGCTCTGTAGGCACAGGGGCGCCTCCTGGGCATCTGTAGGGAGCCATACAGACAGGTTCAAGGTTCCGATATCGTGGGGGGAGCCTAATGTGATACATCTCATTTAGGTTTTCAGCAGTCCCCGTCAGTCTCATAGCCACTAAGGCCCCCCCCCAGCCCAGTCCACCCCGAGCCCCATCCCAACCTGGTGCTTACAGCCTCAACCGGCCCCACACAGACTGACACCACACTGTGTTGTGTGGGCCGGGCAGGGTGCTGGTGGAAGAGCAGCCATTTCTCGTCTCTGCAGACCAGAGCCGGGCACATGGTGAAAGTGAATGACCTGTGCCCTCCAGCTGGTCCTGAGGAAACGCAGCAGCCGCTACATGCCCATCCCTGGGCCTAGGGCTTTTCAAGGGAAGGACTGACCAGCAGGCAGGCTCCTTGAGGCCTCAGCCCAGTGTCAGGGGTCAGTCAGCCTGGACCAGTCCACAGGACAGCCCTGATTCCTGCAGCCAGAGAGGCAGGTCACCCTCAGAGAGACCAGCCAGGCTCCTGGGATGGGCGTGGAAGCCTTTGAAGAAAAGGCGCTTACAACCAGACGGGGCAGGGGCATGGGCTGGGGTGGGGGGTGGCTGGAGCTGAGGAATCTTTGGGGGTAGGGCCAAGGGGCTGGGGGAGACTCGGGCCATGGGGTTTTGGGGAGCACACCACCACCCTCCCTGCCTGCCATCCTGCCGCCATCGTCTCCTGTCCCTGTCATGTCCCTGTCACCGTGCCGTGTCCTTGTGTGCACATCCTCGCCTGCCCCACCCCCGCCCGCCAGCATTGCCCGTGCAGCCCTCACCCGTGTCCCTTGTCCTCCAGGCTGTCTTCCCGCTTGCCCGTCACAGCGCCCTCCCTCGGGGACAGCCCAGACGCATGCTCGCCTGCAGCCAGCTCCCTGCCCCCGACAGGGTCCTGCCGCTGCCGCCGAGCCTGCTGGCCTGTGGCTCGCAGAGCAGTCGCTGTGCTTGGCTTCTGCCGGCGCCCGTCCTCCCAGTTCTGAGCCGACGTCCCGCGGGCAGCTGCTGCTACTGCCCTCCTGCCAGCCACACCTGTATGCCATTGCTTCAGCCTACAGACACATGTGCACACCCACACGCTCCGCACAGGCGCCCAGATGCCTGGGCTTCCCTGCGTGGACGCCCGTTATGTGTGTGCAAACACAGAGCCCCAGAGCAGTGAGTGAGCTGCCTGCACGGGTGGTGTCCAGGCTGCACAGGGCTTGCCCAGCAGTACCCGCCACCCGGCCTCTTCCTGGGCTGAAGCGAGGCCCGTTTGGACAGGGGTGCGGCCTCCTCAAAGGGCGCAGATGTGGTGGAGCTGGCTGTCCTGGGGCCACCACGCTGAGGGCCGGCTGTCGGCCATAGGCTAGCCACCGCTTTGTCCCCAAACCTGCCGCCTTAAGGTTTCCAAGAGTCTTCAGGCCCCAGCTGACCTCATGTGGGCTGAGCTCCTGCCGTGGCAGGTGGAGATGAGGGTGGTGTACGCGCTGCTAGACCACTGGGCTGGTCGGGCAGCCCTTGAGGACCGTGCTTGGTACCCAGAGGGTGCCTTGAGCTGGAAGAGCGGACAGGTGTGGGTTTGTGGGCAGGAGGCAGTGTCCACAGTGCGGGCCACCTGGCCAGTGCCTGGGGGAGGGAGG